CCTTGCATCTCACCCTCAAGGTGAGAAAATGAATGAGGACCAACTCCAGCCAACTTGAGACAGAACTGCTCTGTGATGATTCAGATGGTACCTGCAGCTCTCTGATGGATCTAACCCAGGATAGTGAGTGGCTCAGCTCCCTGCCTGAATCAACCACATGGCCACCTCTAAGAGTTTACAGAAATCCCTGCTTCTTGTCACGTGTTGAATGCAAACTGTGCAGCTGAGCACTGTCATTTCTCACAATCACAGCTGTAGAACTCAGAAGAAACAGCACAATCAAGCACGAGGCATCCCCCATCACCATAACCATGCATTTGAAGCCTTGCCATAACACAGTCTCTTTCCCCTGCCCATCCTGTCTGCTTTTACCTGGCCTTTTTCAGTCACTGCCACTCCTTCCTGAAGCTCTCAAGTAGCATTGACAGGAATGTCTGAGGAAGTGAGGTAGAAGCACCTACAACAATTAAATAAACAAACCAATAAAACAATAAAAAGACAAAGCCGGAGAACAAGGGGGACATGAGCTGTTCAGAGGCTCCGAGACCAGCCCATAGAGTCACTCAGTCTAGACTCCAGATGTGAACACAGAGCCTCAGTGAGAGCAATACGGGACTGCGTAAATATCTCAGCCAGATGTCTCAGGGCCCAAGCTACAAATCCTCACAAATGGTGACAGAGTTGGCTGTTGCTGCTTGTATAGCTCTGCTTCCAAGAGAATCACTGGTCATTCAGTCAGCAGCACTTCATTTTTGCTGCCAGATGGGAGGGAAAACCAGGCTCAGAGTTGCAGTTAGTCTCATAGCAAACTCCGCAGCCGGTGGATGGGTCACGGAGCCCTCTGTGGGTACTGAGGTTAGCTCAAAATAGCAAACTGGGGAAAGAGCTGAAAAGATTATAGTAAACACAAAAGCGCATGATCCTAAGTTCCTAAATAGGCTAAGGTAACAGGCTGCCATGTTAGGCACTTGAATTAAAATTTAGATCTTCCAGACTCCTCCCCATTTGATCAACCAAGTTTACAGATGCTCAATGTTACATGATGGAATTACCTTACATTTTCGTTGCTGGAGACATGTGATACACTGGCTCTAAGAAGTTTGATGCTTGTATCTGCACTTGCACAAACTCCGCCCAATGTTCATGTTCCCAGAACTTCTCCTCAGTGCGTGCCTCACAGAAAGCACCTGGAGGAAACATGACCACCTTCTTGTCTATTTGCAGCTGGATCTGTTCCTTGGGAGGCTGGAAATAAGTTTCAGCTCCCTCTTCTGTCTGAGTCAAACCAGAAGACTCAGCCTGTCTCTGCCAGCAAATGTGTCTAACCACTAGGCTAGTGGTAATTTCAAACCAAAATATAGTGTATTTCAAACCAAAGCTTTCCCAGTCTTCTGTATTTATCTCATACTACATTAAAAAAGAAAAAAATAAGTATTAATTGCAGCAGAGAATAGGACATGGGACTCCACAGTAAGAGTCCTTTTATAAACCACTCTGTCACTGGACCAATTTGGGATATATCAATTTATGACCCAGATTCTCTTCAGCAAGTCACCAGAGTTGGAACTGGCTGAATAATGTATGAGATGATTTGTAAGCAAAAGTCCTGAGTTACTCTCATTGACAGGGATAATATTATTTATGATTTATTGTTCAGACACAAAGCATGAACACGTGTTGGGATGGCCAATAATTGTCCCAAGATTTGCAAAAGGATTGTTTCATTCTCCTCTTTTGGAGTACCAATAGGAAGGTGACTCATACAGTATAAAAGATGAGCTTTTGAATTCAACAGCCCAGAAAAACTTAAAAAAGGGACATGTCCTACCATATTGATCTCCTATTCCTCTAGGTGCAGTTACAGCCTGAAGTTGGGCCCACTGAAGAAATATCTAAAAAGGCCATTGTTCCTCTCTCCTCTTCATATCTAGGCTCACAGAGATAACTTGGAGTCAAAAAAGATTAGGATAAATTGCATTACTTCATACCACAGGCTAAGAGCTCACATACAAGCAGTAGCTGATGCAGGGTTTGCCAAGGCAAACCACTTGGGACTGTAAGTCCCAACTCACAGCCACTTTTCTCTCATTCCAAAGGTCCTAACAGAGGTCAGAACTAACAAAAGATGTTCTGAACAACACCACAGTGGTACATTTCCCATGAAGGTTGCAGGGGTTTAATCTGTTTAATACTTCTACTACATCTGGCCCTCAAACCATTGTGGGATCCACTTAGTTCTAAACAAATATTTCCTGAGCTGCCACATTCAACCCTGGGTCTAAATCAGATTTATCTGAACTGACAGGTATATAGTTTTATGGTTTCATTAATTTTCCTCCCTATCCTGAACAACATAACCCCCAAAAAAGCATTGTATAGAGACCTGTGCTTGATACATACATCCTTTTCCTTATTATTCTGTACCTTCTAAAGAGAAAAGGCATGAATGGTGTAATGGTCTAAATAATGGTTAATGCCACGATCTAAACAAGTATACTCAACAATTTGTCCAAGTGCATCGTGCTGTTCTTCCACCTCTTTGCTAATGAATGCACAGCATCATCATGGCTGAAAGTTAAAGGGGATATTTCTTCTGGCAGTGCCCTCTGGGTCCATTAGGCTGGCTTATCCAGCAATTGTGTTGGCAGTTTGGAGGTTTTCCCAGGATCTTCTATGGCCGAGGATGCTACAGGCCATTTTATTAAATGTCAATGCCCATTGCAGATTAATTTTTTGGGGAAAAAAATCAATCTTAGAATATTTTTTTTCCTTCTGCTCCACATCTAAAGCACATCTATTTAAAAGTCTTTTCAGAGACAGTCCTTTCTTGGGGAATAAAAGAGTCGTACTTGTAACCCTACTTTGAACCACTGACTTTTCCATATCAGGAGACTGCAAATTTTCCCTGTCTTGCCCTTGAATCTGCAGTAGTGTTGCAGCCCTTCCTCCAGCACAGGCTTAGGTCTCACCTCTGACTCATAAGTGCCAGCTCCAGTGGGTAAACAGTTAATCAGCAAGTAGACAGAAACATAAGATAAAGTGAAAACTTTCCTCCTGCAGCACAGCTCTCAGGGAGGTGGAACTAAGGTAGATCAGTAAAAAAGTAGGTGTTGAGATACAATTTTGGAGGAGGATGCAGAAGTTTCAGAATCCTTATCTCTGTCCCTGAAAAAAATCACTGTCTCCGACCCCAGATCACAGCACATTCATATCTGTGGAAAATCAGATTTATTTTGCCATTCATGCAAGTGCAATTGCCACCTGAGAGCCTCAAAGCTGCATTCCTCAGTTCCTGTGGCCAGATCAAATTTTTGGGAAGCCATGAGTAATCATTAGCAGGAAAATGGTGCTTCATTTACTCTTTGACTCTCAAAGAACATTTTGTCTTCCTCTCTGTTTTGTGGAGTGCTGTCAACACTTACAGTGAAGTTTATTGTAAATACACAATAATAACAACTGCACACATTAATCTCTGATTCAATTCCTATGTAAATTTATGTTAATATGTATGCAGATTATGTCTGCCCCCCTTGGTCTTGGAAAGTTGTCAGAATGACACATGGGTTCTGAAGAGGTTGCATACTACTGATCTGTAGTTTTTGTATAGTATTCAACAACTGGCAAACCAACAAGAGAGTGTGGATATTTCTCTTCATTTTTGCTGGATAAATCAATGGCATCTACTAGAGTCCAACTAGTCTAACTAGGCTAACTAGGACTCTTCTAGAGTCTAGATAGAATTAAAAAGATCTCTCTAAATACCGACTCTAAGGCCATAACCTGTCCATTTTTATTTCTATTTTACAACAAAACAAATATTCACAGGTGGGATCTTTTGAGAAAAGCACACAGGGGTAGTTGCAGGGGCATCTTGCTACTAAGATTTCAAGAACTGACATGCCATTTATAAGATTTTTTTCTCCCTAATATTTATTAACCACTAAACTAATGCCTGGAGTTTATAGATAGTCCTACCCACTTTTTGCTGACTAAATTATTGCATTTCTTAAGAGAGCACAAATAGGGCACTTATTTTATTTTTTTGTTCTCAGCCTCCCTTTTTCCTGTTTTAACAAGGACAAACACTGATTTTCCACCTGTATGTGCAGCCAGAGCCACTCTGAGCACTCAAATCAGACCAGTGGTGACGTAGCTGGAGTGCCACAATTGGCTGTTCTTTGCTTTCCTGCCACTGATGTTTGGCTATGACACTTTCTGGTCTTTTGTAATAAATAGAAGCTAATCTTTAGCTCATTGTATGACCGAGTCCCTATAAGGCTCACAGGTACTTCCTAAATAATCACAATGGGACATAAATTCGGGTACAAGAGATACCCATGCTCTTTGCACAGGGATGAATTTCCAGCTATCCAACAGGGTTTGGGGAACTTGCTATCAAAAACAGTAGGCGCCACAAATGTTGGCTAGGAAGATACGCCAAACAGCAAAGTCCAATTGCCAGAAAGGGTTTATACTCCTGCACTTCACAGCTGAGGACTTGGTCCTCACCTTTGATACACAAAACAGATTTGTTCTTCAGCTGGAAACTCAGTTATTCTTGGAGGGTAAGATTATGCCCAGAGCTGATAAACGTGGGAGCCAAGTTCAGAAGTAAAGGCAGAAATCTCCTGACCAAAATCACTTTCACACTAATAATACTTAATGGACTTTGAAGGCCTATCATTTTTGGGGGGAAACAAAACCGACAAATAAGAGCAGAATTGTACCTCATACAGTGATGAGAAACTTCAGTCATCATTTATTTCAGGTCTTTCAGCTGGTTTAAAGACTGACTCTGAGAAAACCTCTTTCTTCTGCAAGCTCTTCTCACTTGAATCTGGTTCAGAGCGTTATTTCACTTTACCTTTTTAATCTCATTTTATTGAAGGCAATCTTAGCCCCAAGGGCAAAACAAGTAAAACAAAAACAGTTAAAGCCTGGAAGAAATCTGTATTTTTTTCGTTGAAATAGAGCCCCATGTCAGACAGCTTTCCACATACCTTGCTCAGTGTAGGTTACATTACGGCATCCCATCAGGCCCATTCAAGCCAGGCTGCAAAAGTATTGTGGCTGGGATCCAACGCTGCCTTCCCTGCCCGTGGTAGCTGTTGGTGGTGATTTTGTCTTAATCATTTTCTCTCTTTCCACCTCTCATGCAGCTGCCTGCCTGTCTTGATAGGACCAAAGTGTAGCTCATGGAATCTATATGATAATCACAAAAATAGTTATTTCTGTTGAAAAATGGATTTAATTCCCCCTCTAAACCTTTGTGGATTGCCAACTGGGGGTGTGAAACCAGCTGGCAAAAGATGCGTTCATTTCAATTTCATGACTTTCATATACTGCAGCTTCCCTACTTTAAATGGTTCCTCCCCTCTCTAATGAGAGCATCAAGGCCTTGATTAACAGCCCTCACTTTAAACAAAGTTTGGAAATTTCTTTTCATGGTAGCTTCTCTGGGGATATCTGACAGCCTGCTCAATCCAGGGCAGCAGAATGCCTCTTCTTTCACAGCATGAGCATTTGTCAGACGTACTAGGAGTCAGGCTTGGTGAAGATTTGTATCCCTGAGTACTCTGCAAGTAACTTGCACAACAGCGTGGGAAGGAAGCTTGAAAGTAGTGCTGGAAAAAACAGTGAAAAACTACTTTCATCAATGTTTTCAAAATGTAAAGGATTGGAATGGACTCTGGTTTACTTTTTTTAACTCTTTTATCCCTATTCTTATAAAACACAGTTTTATTTACTGAAAATCTTGTATTCAGTACATTGTTTATAATTGTTTAAGTCTAAACAGGATTTTAGAGAGATGACTAGGTAACATGGAAGAAAAGCCTGATATGTTTTTTGACAGTTAATCACAGAGAAGGGAAAGGCCACCTCTTGTGAAAGAGTCCTTCAAGCCAGGTAGAACCACCTGGATCAGAGCCTGTAAATAGTCAAATAGTGATTTAGGATGTAAATATTGAAATCAAAGGCATTATCCATGAAAAAGATCTATTTGCTTGCAGACTCTGGCTTCTTGGGCTGTTTGATCTGCCCACTTAGTAAGTGGAAGTCTTTAGTGGACAGTAGATGAGGCCTTGAATCTGAACTTAGAGAGACTGTAAATGGCCTCTATGAGCATGCTTGCTTGTAAAGGATTGCAGTATACATCCTCCCTGGTCACAGGCCAAGATGCTCCCACTTTTGTGACCTTGCCTTCCCTTGGAGATGGGAGAACAGCAAGGCCTTTCAGTGCAAGCTTACTGATAATAGTCAAAGTTATGTCCAAATTGCAGCCATACAGTGGTTGCTGTGTAGTGCAAACTCGTACGTCCCCCAAGCTAGATTTCACTCATCTGTGAGCCAACCATAGCTGTGTCAGCAAAGAGCTCAGCAAACCTACAAGAAAAGGTACAGCTTGTACTCATGTGTGCTGAGTACTGCCTTGCCACAACTCAACCAGCATTTCAACTAATTTAAACCTTCCTGGATGTTTTGGTACCAGACTGCTGTCCCTGTGGTTGCCACATGCAGGAAAACAAAGCACACTGTTACTAATTTGACAAGCCCACAAGGCATGACTGAATCTTCTGGGGGTTTTGTTTAACATTTATATGAAGTTTTGTTTTGGTTATGGATGGCAGTCAGAAAGTTGCATTTACTTTCAGCCAAAACATGAAAGGAAATACTGGGGTCTTGGGGAGATGAAGGGAAAATGGAAGAAGGAGGGGGTGAAACCAGTCCTAAACAAAAGCTATCATGAAGTTAATAGCATAACCAAACTATCTAGCAAAGAAAGAAAAAGAGAGTGGAAAATTCCAGTCACAGAAGTCAGAAGCTGCAGCTTTCTTCCAGGGAAGCAACACACTGCATCTCATTTCTGCTGTGCCTACTGATACCATCTACAGAAAATCTATCACCAGTTGAAAGAGGATTGCATTCACTGTCAATGCACTCCACCACTTTGGTGTCTTAACTTTCAAGAGTTTATTAGATGCACAGTCATGGAATTTTTCTGAAATAGAAAGACAATACAAGCTCCTTTATTGCTGTCTTATACAACCATTAAAATCTCTCTCTTTATATATTAGTTTCCCTCTATTTATTTCCTCAACTATCAACAAAACTATAAATTTACCTTAAAGCAAATTGTGGCATATAGCTCTCTATATATCCCCTCCTCTTTGTATAGATACAGACATCCCACCCCCCCAAATACATACATACATATATATATATGCATAAACACACATAAAACCTGATAGTGAATACGAGAATTTACTGAAAAGCAAGAAGAAACTAGCATATTCAGAAACAGGAGAGAACTAACACTTGATTATTTTAGTAGTTTAGATGTTAGAAATGTAAAAAAAAAAAAAACAAACCCAACCTAACAAAAAAACCACTTTACATTTCATTATTCTGTCATAATTCTGTTTCTGTGATTATAATCTCTTCTTGCACACCTATCCTTCAGGAAGATAGCCCTTTAGAAGATGCGATTGAATTGGGATACTTACAAAAGATCCAACCAGTTTTGTCGAGAGGGAAAGAATAGTATTGGAGTCAAATGACTTAAAAGAGCAAGGCTAAAGTAAAGCTAAGAATACAGCACAGTCAGTGAAGAGTGGTAACAGCTATGAAGCCTTTGTCTTTGAACAGGAGCTGAAAAGCACAAATAGGTTCAAGCTAACAGTGCCAGACTGGCAACTCAGTGAAGTCATTGTATGTGTCCCCAACTACAAAGAACTTTGGTCCAACATTAGGACTGTTCCTGTGCTATGGTTTCTTTCTATGTAATACCTTCCTCCACACATATTTGTTTCTGGCAGCAATATGGATGTAAACTTCACTTGAGGGAGAGGTAGGACTGGAAGAGCAGAGTCTACTTGAAAATTAATTTAACAGGACTCCACCAGAGTTGGTGTCAGCTCTTCATTCCCCAAGGCTGAAGAAAACAGTAGGTTTCTGATCATCTTAGAAGACTGTTCTCTCTTGATTTGAAATTAGAAATGTGTACAAGAGTTATAACAGTACATTCTAATTTTCACCTAGGGAGTTCCAAGCACAATGAATAAAAATTAGGAAAGTCACATGCAAGTAATTGCTGTACCTCATAAGCAGAGCACAGAATTGTTAGTCTCATTAAAGATGATAAAAGCAGGACTCTTCTGGAGAACCTGTGAAGTCACTGTTTGTGAAGCTTCATTCAGTCCTTGTTCTCAGCCAAAAACGATAAGAAGCAAAGCTGCTCTGACTCTTCACTGAATTAAGAGCTTTCAGCTGTTAATACAACACACAACCAGAGTCAGGACTGCACTAATGGACTTTGCTACTGGCAGGGATGCCATGAAGTCTGTGTATGGATCAATACTAGAGATTTTGTGTTGTAGAACACTCTTGGTACACTGTTAGTGGAAATACTATAGTCTGAAGTTCCAGACCCAAGGCTGTACGAACCGTTTCTCTTAGCACCTCATTATATACAAGAGACAACTCTTATACAAACCAATAAAGATATCCCAACCCAGACAACAAGGAAGACATGCAAGTCCCACATGTAATTCAGATTGAAACATTACCCAATGTGGCAGGTATCCCAGGATTCTAACTAATAAAATGAGCATTTCAGGGCTTTCACCAGAAAAAATAAGGAAGGAAATTAAATACTACCTCAACATCTTGAAAGGAGGCAATGACATCTCCAGGATTTCTTCCTGAATCAGCAGGGCTCCTTGCCTTGGTTGGATAGCAAATGCACTTTCATGAGTCCATGTGTGCTCAGATATCTATAACATGACACAGTTTATTCCATAGCCAAAAGACATTCTTACATTCTCTGACTTGTGAGGGGACAACTCAAGTTGATATCACTCACCTTTTGCGTCTCAGTAGACAACTCTAATATAGCAATGGAGGCAACATATAATTGGAGGGAAAGGAGGAAAGTAAGTTTTCATATGTCACTTCTGTAACATTTTGCGGAATCTCACTAAATAGCATCTTCTTGATCTGTTGGTGAAACTTGGCCTGAAATCTCCCCCCACCTCCAAAAAATCAGTGTCTTTTGTATTGAAACTGGGCTTGTTTTGGTTGTTCTGTTCTAAGTAGAACACCATGAAAGTGATACAATATGAGATCCTCCTCAGAAACATCATTTTGTGTCAGAAGATCTCAGAGCTAAACATTTCCTATCAGACCCTTTATTCGCAGGGGAACCTGACTTTCTGCAAGGGCCCTTTGTAGTCCAGCTGGATGTCATTACATAATTAAGCCTGTGAGCCAGGAGGTAGTCTTGAGCATGGCAATTTTACAATGTAAGATCAAACTATTATTCTTCCTTTCAAAAGACCTAGTGCCATTTGTTGTAATGCCTTTATGTAAGGGATCAAATACAGTATTGATTATTCATTATTACCTTTAAAGAGGTCAGGAAGCTTCTGGAATTCAGAAGACTTCTGGGGTTCTGAAGCAATATAAGGCCTCAGGGCTTGATGACTCATCTTGACCTGAAGCTTTGAAATATCACCTGCTGTCTGGATTGTTCCTGCTTGCTGCCTGTGATTTCAAAGCCTCTCTCTCTCCCTTTTTCCCCCCCAAGGCATCAGTCTTACAGGCATTGCCAGATCAAGAGAAGGAAAGAATGCAAAAGAAGTGAAAGTGAGAAGACCACGAGTTGGGAGCCCAGCTGGTATGCATCTGCTTTGCTAAGCTTGAATTGAAAATGAGTATCATTATTCTTGTTCTGTATGCATCCTACTGTGTTTGGTTATTGCATCACATAGAAGAGGCAATAGGTGTATCCTGTGGCTAAGTCCATTGTGTTCAACATGGGTTAACTAACTGTTCAATACCCTAAACAGGGAGTTTTTAAACCTTTCTGTGCCAGTTTGATCTTTAGGCGTGTTCAGATGGAGGAAGGTTTAAAGGAGAATGGGATTGTCGTTATGTGGAAACCCTGACCAAGTGTTAAACACCATCTTCATCAACTGAAGCAAAACATCAATGCCATATTCATCTAGACACTATATTAAAAGTTTCCATTTTCAACAACATTGCCTGTATGTTGTAGAATAAACCTCCAAGCGTGCTTTTTGGCAGATGGTTAAATATTTAAGTAGTTGGCTACAGAATTTAAAAAATTGAGATAATTAGAATACTTGAAGCAGTTAATATTTATTAGTCATGAAGAGTTTGACAGATTGGATGTTTTCCTGCCCACACGTTCTCTAGCAGAAAAAAAAATAAAGCCCTTATCTTTCATTCTACCGAAAGCAAGCTTTGATATGAGGCAGAAGTAGACTTGAAGGCATGGACTTCCCAGATTACTCAGTATGATAAACTGAGAGAAGTGGCTACCACTTAATTCAAGAACAGGCCAGAAAAAACCCCATGGGAATGACAAGGTCATTGTGGAAATGCACAGAGTTCACTCCGGAAAGTGCCCAAGACTGAAACCTGGAGACTGACTCCTCTGCACTGCTTCAGCACCACTTCAACTTTTGCTATAAATTATGATTTCTCTAGTGAGGTTGCCAGGCCACTCCAGTCACCAGGGATTATGAGATAACCCATTTTCTATTAGCTTTGCCCCTTCTGTTGGCCTTCCTAGCAGGAGAGGGAATGCATGGAGCAAAGGCAGACCAGTTCTGTGGCACTCTAGAACTGCACTGGAGAAGATATCTTAAATAGCGGAGTCTTGGCCTCCTGTCCTTAAAATGGCAGACTGGAGGCCAAGAACCAACAGATTACTTACTAAGGCTGCTCTAGGGGCCAGTTTCACCAAACATGTCCTCTTTTATCTGCCCAGAAATTTGACTGAAAAGAAGGACTAGGACATTTGCCTAGGCATGCTGGCTGTCCCACAGACAGGTCTGAGCAAGAGCAGTTACACGCTTCTCACTAGGCTGTAGACATCCAGCTATGCTGAACGCACCAAGGAGCAACTCAGCGCTTCCCATGCCAAGTCAGGCCAGTACAACTGCACTGAGCCAACAGCCAGACCACAGGAGCTCATCCAGCCTGCTGCCTAGGAGGGACATATGGACATCGGCACAGCACATACATGGAAGGTCTAATGCGTTATCTGTCTGCCAGACATGTAAATGTTCACAGAGTATCTGTGCATAGGGAAAGCCTGAGCAACGGATGTACACGTTACTAATGTATAACAGAGCAGCCACATGAAACTCTGACCTTGTCAGCAATTAATGAAAAACATGAAAGTACCAGCAGTGTTACACTACGTAGCTGACTAGCTAGAAAGAGACCCATCTCCATTATATCTTACCTCTCTTCTGTTAATAGCACCACTGAACTGTCAGTATGTGTCCTCAGTATGAAATTACTTGGGTTCCTTTACATTCAAAGGCAACAAGTAATGACATTTGCATGTATCCACATGCAGTGTTAAAAGGAATGAGGGCACAGGATCAACTGTGGCAGGCAGGGGGATGAGTGGAAATAATGTTCATCGGTGTCTACACAGCAAGGCCAAGGGCAGACATGAGTACATAATATATCTGCTCTTACCCAGTACAAACCAGATCTGGATTCACTCCAGCACTTCTCTCAAGGGGACCCAAGAGAGAGATCAGGATGCAGCCTTGGATGTAAAACTCTGCTCCTGGTACCTGGAGCAGAGCGATCTCTCAGCTACATAATCCCTTACTGTGGCCAACAGTGATGAATTGCTGAATTTACTGAGGAGATTTTCCTTTTCCTACAAAAATACTTTAAGGGCCATCCATGTCATACAGAAATACATATTTTTCAGCTCTTTTATCTTTATTAATATGATTTTTGAGATATTTTTCAAGTGCCTTCTTGTCTGACAATAGCAATTTGTGCTTTATTTATCTCATTGCTACAGTGAAAGTGTAGGGAAACTGTTAGGGTTATGAGATACAACAAGCACAAAACCTGTTTTAGATGAGCAAACACTCAGAAGTTTCCAGCTTTTGCAGGCTTTCTGTAATTGCTAAAAATGCATGTTGGAGAAAATCTGGGAAAATTTTGGTACCCTTCCTCTTCATGAAGAGATCCACAATCCTTGACACTAAAAGCAACATCAAGACTCATTGCAAACCAGAAGACAAGAATAGAACCCAGCAATAAAAAAGAAACCACAACCTTTTAAAAAAACAAATATCACAGGATTCCATTACACACCATAAAGAAACAAAACGGAAATGAACCCACATTGTTTCCTCTTCAAGTACTCAGATGAAAAATCTGCACCTTAAAAAGGTTTGACCTCAATATAGGCCATAATGTAAAAATGTGAGGATCTTGGAAACTTGTGCTTTTCCTGGATTGAGGCCCAGATTTTGTAATATATCTTGCCTGTTACTATTTTTCTTGCTTCTTCCAAAGTAGAAAAGGCTCTTTTGAAGAAATGTGTTTTCTAGACACTTTGATACACCAGAATTGGGGTCTGTTTAAATACTTCAAGTTTGACATATATACGTATATAGTTGTAATATTTTGTGGATATGAGCCAACATTGCCTTGTCTGGATCCAGCTCTTACTATCAATATGTTGTGAGACACTAGACAGAGTGGTCTCTACTCCAACATGTAGAGTATACATGTCAGGCTACACTAGGTCAGGCAAATAATAGTAAGACAGTCAGCTTGCTGTGCCTTTATCTTCTTCCCCACAGTTTTAATGAGCAGCACCTGAAAGAATTTATGCCCATTGTGAAGTCTTCTGCTGAAATGAAAAAAGCACTGTCAGGACACAGTGGTAGTGTATCACATCTGCTTGGAAAAGGAACCTTCCCCCACTCCCTGTGTGCTTACTTTACACAAGGAAATCTATCACTAGTTTGATCAAGTGACTATCAATGGTACGAGTATTCTCTCAGAGGCTGTTTTCAAGGGCTGGCCTCAATGTGCTATTGCACACTGATCTGCTCTTCAGTTCCTGATGCTTTCCAGGCTGAGCTGAAGCTGCAGCTACAAACCATTAAGCTTACTACAAGATGTACATCAACTGTCACGTACATCCCTTTGCTTACTCTTTTTTGGTATCTAGAGGGTGTATATGCAAATGTTTTCCTCTGTGATATCTCATACTAGTTGACTGAGGGCATCAGAGAAACTGAGATACAAAATCTGATTAATATTTTTCCTCCAGATACACGTCTAAATCAAACTACAAGGGGGCCAGCCATACAATAATTCATGTTTACTAGCCCCATTAAAATTAATTCCTGCTATATCTTATCAAACAATCGGCCATGAGAGAAAGTTTTCCCTATTGGAACAAGCATAAGTCACTCTAACTTTTGCGGCTGTCAGCTGAAAGCAATTCTTCCCCCACCTTCCGGTGTTTGCTCAGGTGCAGTTTTGTTTCCATGTGAACTGATTCAGGAGAACCTGCCTCAACCAGCAAGCTAACAGGAGTCACCAACCAACTTGCACTGACTGCAAACAAACTCTTCGTCCCAAAAGAGTCCATTACATAAAAGTATACTACATAAAACCATCTTTGTATTTGTGACTTACTTTAAGTCCTTAGGTGGTTTGCCTTTAAGCATGACTACATTTTTAATCAATCAGCAGGGCATGCAGTATGTAAAGTTCATGCTAGCTTGAGCGGCAGCAGACTGTGTTTTTCCCCTGGTGAACAACCCCCTCATAGCCTGTGAGCTTTAGCTGGTGAGGTTATGCAGCCTGTCTATTAGGACTGCTCTCAGCCACATGCCTGACTGC